GGATTAAAAAAACAAAAAAACAAAAAACAGAGAAATAAGATATGCTCACTTCCTCCAAGAGAACATAGTTCAGTGTATAAATGAGTATGTGAACAAAATTAAGTATATGTTAATTGCTACTGAAACTCAAAACAGCTTTCTCAGTTTGAGATTTATTTTTAATATTACTGAATGAACTTGACCTAGAGAATATAATGCTTTTCAGTAAAAGTGTACATGAAAGCTTTCTTATTAAAAATCATAAAATTCTTACTAACATGCTCTAGTGCAATGCATTAAGGTGCCCTAAGAAAAAGTACAGTACTACAAGAATTAGAAGATTTTGAAAGATATTGTTTACTTCTTGAAAGGTTGAAGTGATTTTTTTTTTAAGATTTATTTATTTTTATTTGTACAAGCACTGGGTACAGTCAGAAGCACGGGAGGGTGAGAGAATTCACCAGAGCCAGAGCGGGGAACAGAACAGGCAGACTGACAAAATACACTGGTGAGGGGAGCAGCGGGCACGGCAGAAAAGGTCTGTCATGCCATGTGGGACCCTCACTGGTGGCCGGGGCTCAAACTGGCGCTGCAGAGGCTGCGCTCAGCTTCGCAGCACAGCGCTCAACCACTGCACCACCAAGGGGAGGCCCTGAAGTAAATCTTTACCAGAATTGATAGGTATGTGTAAAGGCAGGAATGGGCACAGTGCAGGTTTTCGGATCCCATGCAGACCGGGTAAAGGAGGAGTCAGAGTCCACAGTGGTTTTGCAGGTCTTTTATTGGGGTTCACCAGGCATATGGCAGGCAGGGGTGCTGGCTGGGGGGCTGGGAGGCTGGGAGGACTCCCAGCCCCCAGCAAGTCTTTATCTGGACTCTCTGTCGTTCGTTCTGCTGCTTCTCTGCTTCTGCTTCTGCTTCGGCTTCTGCTGCTGCTGCTGTTGCTGCTGCTGCTGCTACTGGCGTCCCCGTGACGCCGCCCTTAAAAGCAGTCTTAACTCAGCTGAATCCCATCTACCTATGCCCACACCCTATTCCAGGTGCCCGCCATCAGGCATGCATTCGGGACAAAGATCCATCATCTATCCTGATGGCGGAAGGGCAGAAAAGCCTGACATTTTCTTTTCTTTTCTTTTTTTTTTTTTAATAGAGGCATGTTTTATTTATTTATTTGTTTGTTTGTTTCTTTGTTTGTTTATACATGCACTGGGTACAGTCAGAAGCGCGGGAGGGTGAGAGAATTCACCAGAGCCAGAGTGGGAGCAGAGCAGGCAGATGGACCGAAGTACACTGCTGAGGGGAGCAGCGGGCGGCAGGAGAGGTCTGCGCGCCATGTGGGACCCTCCTCTGGTGGCCGGGGAGCAGCCGGGGATCAAACTGGCGCTGCAGAGGCTGGGGGCAGCTTCGTAACCCAGCGCTCAACCGCTGCGCCACCGGGGAGGCCCTACTTTACCCTACAGTATGTCTTTAGATGAGAAAAAGAAGTGGCTTCATTGAAAAAGGAAAACAATGCAAAAGTAAATAAAAAAAAAATAGGAATGTGGGATCTAATGCAAAAATCCATGATAATCTAACAATGTTGTGTGTGTTCTGTTTATTTTGGATTTTGCTTCCATGCCTGGAAAGAGCAGAAATAAGGTTGAGTAAAGCCAGGTCATGGCTAGATTACAAAAGACCTTACCTGTCACAGGTGAAGGAATTTGGGTTTTATCTGCACATATTGGGAAGCACATTTGTGCTAATGAATGGTAACCGTGTTGAATTGTCACACAGTCCAACTCAGTGCTGATCACATCTTGTGTACATGGATCAAATGAGGACCTCATTACATTATGTATTGTGAAAAAGCCAGTATGATTTGGGACCTGAGATTCCATATTACAAACATTAGCTCCTAATTGACCTAATGCTTTTAGTCTTGGCACCTTTTCTATGTAGCAATGGTTACTACTTGGAAGCTGTTTAAAGTAGAGGATCCTGTGTCCTATACCAGATAAATCGAGTAGAAAAGTCTAGGAATAGGGCCAAACCAAATAAAGTAAAATGTACACATACATCAAAAATACACATACATACCTTCCTTCGATTTTTCTCATGTGATTATTATTTGATCTTGTTTAATTTTGCTTACTACTCAATAGATCAAGCCAGTAAAGGCTAAAAGTAAAACTAAATCACTAAGGATGAAAAATCAAAAGTTTTGAGTGATGTTTAAAAGAATAAATTATTATTTTTAATACTACACATTTATTTTTAAATAAGAACCTATTATTTCAATTGTGGTGACATTAGGATTTTCTCTGTCAGTTTCATATTTGAGAGAGCAGAGTTGGAAAGGATCTTGGATATTTCTATTTTTGTTTTGTTTTGTTTTGTTTTTTTGGACAAAATAGATTCAATAGCTAGTGATAACATAATTTCCAATAGAAAATAAAGAATAAGACAGAAAGATTATCTTCAGTTTAGATACACTGACTTTTTTTTTTTAAGATTTATTTTTATTTTTTTATTTATTTATGCCAGCACTGGGTACAGTCAGAAGCGCGGGAGGGTGAGAGAATTCACCAGAGCCAGAGCGGGGAGCAGAGCAGGCAGAAGGACCGAAGTACACTGCTGAGGGGAGCAGCGGGCGGCAGGAGAGGTCTGCGCGCCATGTGGGACCCTCCTCTGGTGGCCGGGGAGCAGCCGGGGATCAAACTGGCGCTGCAGAGGCTGGGGGCAGCTTCGTAACCCAGCGCTCAACCGCTGCGCCACCAGGGAGGCCCGATACATTGACTTTTAAAGGAAGAAAGTTGCTTGCTTGGAGAATATTCTCAGTGTCATAAGTTATCTGAGTGTGTCTATTAGATTTTTAGTCAAAATCAACTCTGCTTTCTATCAGCCTCTTAGTTTCAGATCTCTGAAAGTGGTAAACTGGCTGTTTTAAATGCCCTCTTAAATGCTGTATTAAATTGCTCTGGGTTATTTGTCCCTTGGTAGAATGTAGAAATGTCAGTGAATGTAGAAATGTCAATTTTTAGATTTTATAAATATGTCTCATTTATATTTCAGAAAATTAACAAAAGTGCCTTTGCTATTTGGTATACATGCTTATTTAAATTATAAACATTTTTAGCTGCTATGATAGCAGTTATCTCTGTTAAAATGTTACCTATGTTGGGCCTCCCTGGTGGCACAGCTGGTGGAGTGCAGCGCTGTGAAGCTGTCTGCAGCCTCTGCAGTGCTGGTTCAATCCCCGTGGTCTCAGAATAACTCACATGGCACGGCAGACCTCTCCTGTCTTGCGCGCTGCTCCCCTCAGTAGTGTATTTCGGTCCTTCTGCAAGCAAGTTCTGTTCCCCACTCTGTCTCTGGTGAATCCTCTCACCCACCACACCTCTGGCCTGTACCCCAATTCTTATATGCATAAATAAATCTAAAAAAATAAATAAAATGTTACCTATGTTATATTGAGAAATAGTTTTCATTAATAAAATCAATTACTTTATATTTTCCCCTCTATTAGCTCTTCTCCTGAATTAATTTCTTTTTCACATTGGTGACTCTTGTTTCACTGAAGTAGAAAATCTTAACATCTTTATTTGTCTTTTTGTTTTTCAATCAATGTTATAATTGGTGAGAGAGATAAATTCTATTTTCACTACTTTATTATATCCATACCTACCTTTCCATATTTTATTTGTTGCCAGCCAGTGCAGCTACTTATCATAACATACCTTGAAGTGCTTATCCCCTGAATTCAACTTGTCAGTCATCCTGTCTTATGGCTAATTTTTAGTAAATATCAATATTATTTTGTTAGTTTCCATTTGTGAATAATTAGTATACAAAAATTTTAAGTCCAGACATTTATCATGGATTTTGATTCCAAACATTTTTTGAATTTTCAAAACTATTTTTCAATAATATGTGATGAGATTATCAACCTCATCTACGAATTACTTTCTGAATGCTACTTAAGTGTTTTTGTCCTACCTGATCTGAATATCCTCACTCTTTTATTCCAATATCTAGCCCATCTTTTTTTTTTTTTTTTAAGATTTATTTATTTATTTATACAAGCACTGGGTACAGTCAGAGACACGGGAGGGTGAGAGAATTCACCAGAGCCAGAGCGGAGAGTAGAACAGGCAGAGAGACGAAGTACACTGCTGAGGGGAGCAGTGGGCGGCAAGAGAGGTCTGCGCGCCATGTGGGACCCTCACCTGGTGGCCGGGGATCGAACCGGTTCTGCAGAGGCTGCGGGCATCTTCGCAATCCAGCGCTCAACCACTGTGCCACCAGGGAGGCCCCTAGCCCATCTTTTTTTAAAATCAAATTTTATTACCCTGCAGGTAGCCTTCTTGATCATAAATATCATATTTGATTATAAATTATTACATTTTATAATTAATATATATAGATGCATATTTGTATCAAATATGATACATATCTTGTTCCATCATTTATCTTTTTATGTAGTATTGTTTTCTTCCCAAAATAAATTGTAAAAAGTTGATGTTAGACACTATGGCTTATTATTTTTTTGTAGCATAGCATCTAAAAGAGTGTTTTGCAACATATGTGTAGTCAATAAATACTGGTTTTATTAAACTTCTTTTTTAATTACTCAGTGCTACTGTTAAGATTGATATTACATGCATTACTTTGAGGGTAGTTCACATCGGACATAGATTCATCATGATTCCCCTTTTTAGTCTGTAGGTATAACAGTTTCCTTTTTTTTAAGATTTTTTAAAATTTATTTATACATACAAGAGCTAGGTCAGAGGTGCAGGGCTGAGAGGTTTCGCCCAGAACAGAGTGGGGAGCAGAATAGGTGGATCTACTGTAATACACTGCTGAGGGGAGCAGCAGGCCAGATTGGAGTGGTCAGCTGTGCCACGTGGGTTGCTCCCTGGCCTGGGATCCAGCTCATGCTGCGGTGGCTGCTGATAGCTTGATAGTACTGAGACTTAACCCCTGTGCCACTAAGGAAGCCCCAGAAGGTACAACAGTTTTCTTACTTTAAATAATAATACATATTAGCTGACAGGGGATACACATGAACACAAAGGTAGTTTTCTCAGAGCGAGGCTACACCATTGCACCATGGTGTGCTGACCCCTGTAATTTCTACAAATGTGGGCAACTCTGCTGTGTAATTTGTGGTAGTGGGGGACTGTGTTCCTGTTCTTCCCTGGTGAAAAATAAATAAATACAATCAAGTAAATAAGAATGTCTTGTTAAGATACAGATAGTTTTGACTATCCAACTGCAACCATATTTTTCTTATTATATAGGTATTAAAATGTAATTTATTGATCAATTTATAATGAACATCATTATTGATCAATGATTGTCCTTGTATGAAGTTAGCCGATGTAATGTTAAACACTTCATAGTTTTTTCAAAATCATTATGTCCATTTCAAATATATAAAGAGAGCAAAGGATCAAATTTTCAATATTATGCATGCCTTGTTTTACAAACCCTGATCTTAGTGGACATTTTAATTAGAAATATTTTATGTCATCTTTTCTAAATGAAATAAAGGTCTCTTATCACTACTCGTTATCATTTCTTTCTACCTAAATCAAACACCTGAAATGAAGGGGCAACTTACTGGATATATATCAGATATTTCATGCCTGTCCACATTTTCCTGAACACAACTTTTGGTATTAGAGAACTGTTTAATTTTCTTCTGACATTTGTGTCCAAAATGAGCCCTTTGGTGGTGCCAAGGGTCAAGAATGATCACAAGAAACTGTGGAAGCTCAATCACTACATAGATGATTAAGGCCTGACCTTAAGTTTTAGTTCTCCAGGTTTTTCCTATTATGTAGGTATTAAAATGTATCTAAAGATGTCAATTACAGTAAATCTAGCCTTTGGGAAATTATTAAACCAAAGGATTATGTGTTTTCTTGCCATACTTTAATGCTTGAAATATAGCAATGTACCTAGTCACCAAAATTACCATGAAAAATATGGTCATGATTAATGGGTTCGATGATAGTTTGCACTGAATGAAAAATTAACAAAGTATTTTAATATAAATTAACTAATTAATTTCAAACTCAGTTTCATTTTATTGCAACAAATATGTTATTTATTGCACCCATCAGCAAATCACTATAAAATAGTTGAGAACTATATTTGACATTTAAAGTACCTACTTCTTTCAAGTTTTGTCTTCTCTATAAACTCCTCTAGAATGAAATTTTACTCCAAGATCAAAAGTGGGCATTATTTAAGTAATAATTTGCAAACATTTTTCAAAATCTCTGAGAGCCTTAATTTCAATTTAAGGCAATGAAGTTTTATCAAGTTTTATAATAATAATATTGTCAATAATGTGTGCCTAGTATATGAGCTCTTGGTAAATATTTGTTCATTATTTGGCCATGTATTCCTGTGCTATCAGTTTTGGATAATAGAAGCAAGCTTGATAAAGCTTTACTTTTAGAATTTACCTTTTGGTAGAGAAGTGAATGTAATTATTAACAACATATGATTCACTTGTCTAGTGAAAATGTCAACTAATTAAAGGCATTTATATATCATACGAAGGGTGCTTTATGAAATTATTAATATTTTAGTTTTATTTTGAAGATAGTATATAGTGAGCAATAGAGAGCTATGAGAAAGGGAGAGGGAGGCAGTGGAAATAGTTTGAGCAAATGGGAAAGTGTGATTTGGTGAAGAAGGGAGAAGGTAATTAATCATAGTTATCTGTAGCTGCAGAAATATTGGGGAGCAGTAACTGGAAATCAACTTGGGCAGGTAAGTTTACTTTGAATTAAAATATGTATCATAATTAACTGGCCAGAGCAACTATCCTTTGAAGATTTTTGAGTAGACAGATGAAATTAAAAAGTTTTGGAAACTTATCTTTATAGCAGGTTGAAAAATACTTCCATGTAAAGAGAGACTGAAGAGATAAAAGTCAGAAAATGCAATGATTTACTTGTTGATGCTTGGCGGTGGGTGTGGTATGGTGACATGAATCTGAGGCACTGTGACCCTTTTCCTCTGTGTTGTAAAACCAGTCTTATCCAATAAAATAAATAAATAAAAGATACACAGAATCTGCTATATTACTATCTCAGCCAAAGATGAATATCTTAGAGTACAAGTAATGAGTGCTTGCATTAAGAAAACCATATTATAAATAAATAAGAGTACATACAAGTGTTTCAGAAGTTACATCTCTAAGAATTAATGATGGTTGGTGACCTAAATGGACTGAAAGAGAAATTATTTTGGTAGAAGGAGAATAGTTTATGTTTGCACAAACAAAAATTGAACTTAAAATATGTTATCCAATTGAATGCTAGCTATGAGTTGGAAATTGCAGGATTACAAAGTACAGACTGAGAAAGTATAAACTGTAATTCCAAACACAAAAGGAAATTCATGTCATAAAATGGGTCATATATTAAAGGGAAATTTAAGTAGAAGAAATGAGAATGAAGAACAGAATCACAATTTTCTTTTTTTTTTAAATCAGATAACATCCCTTTGTCCACTTTTCTTTTTTATGCATAAGTTTACACAAACCTTCCTCAATTTATAAAATCACTATCAACATTCTCAGAATTGGGTATCCATAAAATAACCACCCAGCTCTTCAGATTCACACCTTTTTTTTTTTCATTGTTTTATTTATTTATTTTTTTAAATAATAAATTTTATTTTTATATTCCCCATACAATTTCTCCCCCCCATTTTGACCCCAATCCCTCCCCTTTTGCCCCCCACCCCCCAAAAAGTGTCTCTGGTTCATAGTTCTTTGTTGATTTTGATTTTCACTTTCTTATAGTTATTCATTTTCCTGGTCCCTTATTTAAGTCATCTAGATTCCTGCTATGAGTGAGACCATCCGGTATTTTTCTTTTTCTTTCTGGCTTATTATATTCACACCTTTTTGAAGGCTGTCTCAAATTCCTTGAATCCCTTGTCTTACATCACACTACAAGTAGGTTTATGGAGAATTAACTATTTCTTCAAAGGAGAAGTTTCTTTTTGTGAATTCTCACTAGAATTGGTACTGTTCATGGTTTTTAGATACTCTCTTATCCCTTGTTCAACTACTTTCTACTCTTTCTCACTATTGTGCTTTTCTTAACTTGTTTCTGTCTGAAATATTAGAATTACTTGGACACTGTTGAGCCTTTATGATGTACCAAGTACTCTCTGAGTGTTGAGGAATTGTGAGTAAAAAAGGAATCTCAGCCTGAGAGATGAGAAGATAGCCAAGAAACCCAGCTAATTTGCCCACAAAGATGTTTCCTGAAAAAGAAGGGCCTGATTGGTTGATGATGGAAATCTATTTTAAAGTGCTTGACCATGTTTGACCAGACTTAGTATAATTCCATTTTTTAAATTTCATGGGTATATTTCTTCTGTTTGTATCTTTTATTCACACTGCTTTATTTCACTTTGTAGTTATATTGTTAGAATATGAGTTTAGATTAAAGAAGGTAGATTTATAAAAACCATCAGCAGTCTGGGCTTATGATGTAGTTCTTCACAAAGGGATTTGTTTCCTTATGTCACTTAACAGTGAGCCCTATACATGACACTTCTTTTTCTTTTTAATAATATTTTATTTTTTTAATTGTAACATTAGGATTCTCCCCATTAGATTCTCAACTTGAGGGTTCCAAAAGAACTCATGTTTATAATTAAAATCCCAAACTTGGGATATGGTAGAACTGTGATAATCTATTTGAGAAGAAACATTTCCCCCCCCCCCTGCATAGGGTGGGAGAGGCAACTCTTGTTGCGATAACCCTTTTGACATGAAGCATATCTTCTTATATTAAAACTTAATTGTAGGTCTGGTCTAGTGTCATCTGGTGTTCTACAACATTTAAATTAAGACAATTTTAATGATTTTTTAAAAATTCAAACATATTTAGTTATTTCATTTAAAATTTGACAACAGGGCTTCCATGGTGGCCTAGGGGTTAAGACTCAGTGCTATCACCACAATAGCCTTAGTCTGATCCCTGGCCAGGTTGCTGACCCACATATGGTGCAGCAGACCTCTCCTGTCTCGCCCGCTGCTCCCCTCTACAGTGTATTTCAGTAGATCTGCCTACTGTGCTCTCCAGTCTGTCTGGTAAATCTTCTCACCCCCAAACCTCTAGCCTACACCCCAGTTCTTGTGTGCATAAGTAAATAAAAATAAATCTTAAAAAATAAAATAAAATTTGACAAAAAACTTCTCAACCTCTGCACTATTTTATTGCTATTGCCTTGTTCCTTCACTCAACTAATATATCTTGTGACAATTAATGCTCATTTACCTTTCCTTATATAATGCTTCCTTGCTCTTTGTGTGTGCCTCCTTTCATGGAAATATTTTAGTAAGTTGACAAAATTTAAGTAATAAATACTTCTTTGTTGTGATGAGTGTTTAAGATTTATTGTTTTCAAACAAGTTTCCAGGTTTGGGATAAAAAAGTTTCTTTAGATACTTTCTTTAGCTATTTATATGATAGCACATATAAGACCTGGTCTGTGAATATAGGATACTTGGTTGAGTATGAGTTTGTTTATTTTTATGACCAGTAAATTTCATCATTGCTCAATTAAGTTCTGTGTTGGCCTGGTTATGAAATGCATATTAGATGACAGATGCAATGTTCTATTGTATCTCCATTTCTTCTGTTTCTCTCTGTATGTAATAAAAATGAAGGGGAAATAATTGTTTAGATCAGATGGTGCAGATATCATGGTAAATCTTATGATTATAATCATAATTAATTATTACTCAATTTTTTTTCAGCTCTTCTTCAAGTGACAATTTCACTTAGCAAAGTAGAGCTTAGTGTGGGTGAATCTAAATTCTTCACATGTACAGGTATGTATTTCTACAAATTCTTTCAGACAAATTCTTTAATTATTATTATACTATATTGTACCTAAAAGTACCTAAAAGCTCAGTTCTCTAAATGTAAAATCTTATTAGGATTATCATGATTGGAAAGTTAGTAATCCCATATTTTACTTACTAAAAACTATGTATTTTGTTTCTATTAATTTATTCATTTTGACTGTAAAACAATCTAGTGCCATTATTTTGAAAACAACTTGTCAATTATAATATCCGTACAATGAATTTTCATCAGCTTTAAAATATTTCTACCTAAATGTTTATATTAGGATGAATATAAATATTTAACTTAA